TTCTATTATATATGGAGGATGTAGGGAAGACTGTATATCATGTGTAGAATATATAGTGCAGTTAAAGGAACACTGGGGTGGGAAGAGAAGATAGGTCTCTGAGTGGTACATCTGCCCTTGGTAAAGGTTCCTAATTCACTTATTTTCCATTCATTAAAAAAAAACCCCAACAACTGTACATTGTCTTCTATGTCCCAAGCATTGCTTTTGTGAATAAAATAGGCAAAGATTCCTGTCCTCATAGAGCTTAAATGACAGCACAGAGTATAGATGATAAACAATGAACCTAATAAATACATTACAAATATAATGCAAGCTATTATTACAAATTAAATACAAAAGTAAATCCAATAAAAACAAACATTGTGTTGTTTGTTAACAACTGATAAGTCCTATGAGAAAACAGAAAGTACAGTGAAGGGACATCAGGAATATCAGGATTTTACATGGCAATTTTAAAGACGGTGATCAGGATACACTCAGATTCATTAAGAAGGTGATATTTGATTTAAAAAAAAAAAAAAACTTAGAGAAAGTGAAGGAGTTTGTGAAGCAGATGTCAGAGGAGAAAAGTCCAGGCAGAGGATCTGGATAGTGTCAAAGCCTTAAAACTAGAGCTCCCCTGGGACATTTGAAGAACAGCAGGTGGCCAGAGTATCCAGAGTAGCTGGAGTGGAGTGCAGTCAGAGATGGTGGGCATGGAAGTCCCGAAGGGCCTCTTACACTGTAGTAAAGGATTTAGCCCTCGCTTGGTAGGAAATGGGTAACCATGGCAGAGTCTTGAGAAGAGGGGTGACATGGCCTGAATTCAATTTTCAAAGGGATTATTCTGACTGCCATGCTGAGAACAGACTGTAGAGAGGCAGAGTGTAAGTCAGGAGACCCATTTTGCTGAGGCTATCACAGTATCCAGGTCCAAGTGCATGATGGCTTGGCCTGAGATGGGAGTGATGGCTGGGGGGAGAGAATTGGTCAGAACCTGGATTTACTGTGAGGGTTGAACCAGCAAGTTTTCTTGATGGATTCGATGTGGGATGTGAGAGGAGAGGAGCCAAAGATGACCCCCAGGACGTGGGGATAAAACTCTGGAAGGACACTGTTATGTCACCTGAGATAAGAAAGACAATGATGTTGGCAGATTTGGGGTCAATATTATGTTCAATATGCTCACATTGGGGCATCAAGGCTGAAATAACTTGGAGACATCCAAACAAAGTTTATATACCCATTGGATCTATGGCCTGGAGTTCAGGAGACACCTGAGCTGAACATATTAAATCCAAGAGTCATCAGCCTTATAGATGGTGTTATCAGGCAAGCTCCTACAGGAAACAGTGACACATTCAAGGGTTTTAACCAAAAAGAATTTAATAAAGGAGCTATTTACAGAGATGTTGGCAGGATTAAAGGGGCTTACAAGGCATGGTGGGCATCAAGGGAGCAGCAAAGATGGAAAGCCATTACTACGTTCAGGTCTGATGGAGAAACAGAGAGGGGCTGGTGTGCCTGAAACCCTGAGAGGGGTAGAGCCATGGAAAACTCCATGTCTTACCAGCCAGAGTGAGAAGCCAGTCAGCAAGCGGGCCTGGGAAATGTTGTCTGAAGCGGCCTGACTCTTGGGGCAAAGGAGGGTGGAGAAACGATCTGGGGTTGAGACTACACAGACAACCAACAGCACAGATCCTGTATAAAGTCTGAGGCTAAATAAAATCTTTAAGGGAGTGAGGGGAAATAGCGAGGAGAAGGGACAAAGGACTGAGCCTGGGGTTTTCCATCATTAAGTGGTTTGGGAGAAGAGGAAGAACCAGCAAAGGACATTACAAAGAAAATAGCCTTGGGGTAGGATGAACAGCAGAAAGTAGGTAATCCTGAAAGCCAGACAGGGTGTGATCAGCTGGTTCAAATGCAGCTCATGTGTCACATGAGATGCAGGCTGAGAATGGACCCTTAGATTTAGCGAGTGGAAGTTACTGGTGTCCTTGACAGGAGCCATTTCCATGGAGTGCTGGAGGGAAACACCTAATGGCAATAGCTTTCGGGGAGAATAGGCTGAGAGGAATTTTGGACAGCAAAATAAACAATTTTTTTTTGATCTAGGAGTTTTGCTGCAAAGAGCATAAGCAGGGACAAAAGGCAAGGGAAAAACTTAGTTAAGAGAAATATTTTTTGAGATGTGTAAATCACATCATGCAAATTCCCATCCATGATGGGAAAGATCCTGTGGAGAGGAAGAAAGAACTGGTCAGGAAAAGGGGGGAAGGGGAAATACCTAGAGTGATGTCTTGTCTTAGCTCATGTTTCTTCTGTGGAAATGGGGTCAGAACCTTCCTGAAAATTCTTCCAGAATCAACTTTGAGGGATTGTTTGGAGAGTGAATGAGGTACAGGACTATGTGGCCTCCTTCACGAGTGTCCAGGACCATCATCGGTGTTAGCATTTCCAACCTCCCCACCTGGATCTCAGTGCACCCTTAGTCTCCCCTCCAGGGCAGGGACAGCCAGTTACTTGGCACCTGCTAAGCACCAGGCACTGAAGATGTTTAACACGAATTTTCGCAACGACCCAGACCTCTGGCTCTAGTTTCCGGGTTGGGAAAGTTGTGCGACGGTGTCTCAAGGAGGTTAAGGAGCTTATCAGCCAGAGCACACAGGAGGAAGAACCACAGTGCAAATCCTGGTCGTTATTACAAAGCCCTTCTTCTGTTCTGTCTTCCTGGCCAGCCTCCTATTACATTCTTCTTTCCCCATATCACTTTTCTCTTCCCTCTGTTTCTCTGGGCTCTTCACTGACTATTCCTTCTTCATAATCTCAACCTCCTCACTCCCAGGTGCTTCCCCCTCAATTGAAAATCAGTTCTGATAACATTAATACTTCAGAGCAAGTAAGCTTCCCATCCAAGGAGTACTGGTTTTCTTCTAAAATAGGATATTCTTGCAAAGACAGAGCTCCCTCCCCTTCCCACAATGAATCTCTAATGGACTTTCATGCATGACAACCATTGGAGAAAGAACAGAGGCTTCCAAAAGCTTCTGAAATCTAGCTGTGCAGGCCAGTATCTGTGCCTCTGGGAGACTGTCGTGTTTCCTTACACTGTTCATTTAGACTACTACTTACTTTTCAAGTTCTCAAGAACTTGGCAGGTCTGCACTGAACTGCCCATTTTCCTGGTTAAAAATTGATCAATTCCAAAAACTCGTCCACTTCATTCCAAGTATTCCTCTCTCTCTAGTTCTTTTCTCTCCTGTTCCCTCTTCCTCTCCCTGTCTCTGTTACACGCGTGCGCACACACACACACACACACACACACACACACACTGCACTCTTGCTTGGAACTTGGAGAGGATTTGGGGAGAATGGAGTGACCTGTCACTGTTGCTAATAGGTCAGATCAATATCACGAAATGTGCCACATCCTTCTTCATTTTCTCATCCAGCGATCAATAGCCTTGCTTTCCCTGTAAACCTTTCTCAAAGGTTCCACACTTTTCATCTCCCCTTGTTTCCTGGGCTGGGTCTGTTCTCTCTGAGATATCTAGGACAGAAAGGGAGGAGCTGATCCTGAATGTTCCAAGTTCAAGTGGCTTGTGTTCACTGCTGTGCTGCCTGTGGCAGAGGCATGTGCACAGATGTGCAGTGTGTATGAATGAGCATGTGCGTGTGTGCGCAGGTGCATGCATGCATTGCTTGAAAGTCAGAGATCAATAATGTCTACTTTCCTTTACCCTCAAGAAACTTAACATACCAGAGAAGGAACACAGTTTTATTCTTCTCTAGAAATTAATGTCATATGGAAAAACTCCTTTGCTCTAATGACTTGCTGCAGCAGGCAGCTGGAACAAGCAAATAACATGACCCAGTATCCAATGATGTTGCTCAGCCCCAGTTTGCGATGCCAAGTGTGGATCCCAAAGCTACATGATCTAATGAAGATCTCGTGGGACATGTATCTGACCTTAGGCAGAATAAGCAAATGTCAATATGTTGGGGTTTGAGGGGCTAGAGCATTCTGTTTACCCCAAACAGAATGGCACCTCCCTGTGCCCACCAAAGTACCTCAGACTCCCGTATTATAAACTACCTAGGGCTAGGTATTGAAGAAAGCTGCAGAAAAGTAAACACAATGTATCTCTGTGGGGGGGGGTATAAATCCATTCTTTCCTGATCATGAATTAGTATATCAAGTTAGTGTTAGGCACCTAGAATATTCCCAAGGAATGGGGTCAGGACGGGTGTGGTATGCCAAATAATGGCATCCCAAAGATGGTCACATCTTAATCCCTGGCACCTGTGCATATATTGCCATACATGGCAAAAGGCTCTTCACAGCTGTCATCAAGTTAAGGAACTTGAGATGGGGAAGTTGTTCTGGATTATTCAGGTGGGCCAGGGAAATCACACACATCTTAAAAGTGGAGAGCGGAGGTAGAGAACGAGATGCGATCACCGAAGTAAGGTGAGTACTCAACCTGCCACTGCTGGCTTTGAAGATGGCAGGAGGGAGCCATGAACCAAGGCATGTGGGTGGTCTCCAGAAGCTAGAAAAGGCAAGGAAGCAGATTATTCCCCAAAGCCTCCAGGAAGGCACTGAGCCCTTCTAACATCTTGATTTTGGCCCAGAAAACTTGTGTTGGATTCCTAAAAATCTGTAAGATAACACATTTGGGTTGCTTCAAGCTGCTACATTTTTAGTGTTTCATTATAGCAGCAATAGGAAACTTATAGAAAAGGACAGTTTTCCAAGAAAAAGTGTTCAGACCATCAGAAGCCTGGGAAAGAAGGTGGCGGGGGTCGCAGGCAGGCTAGGTTGATGAAGTGAGCTCTGGAAAGACAGGAGGTAGGGCTGAGGAACTCGTGGAGAAGGAATACAGGATGAGGCAAATATGAGCCAAGACAAAGACAGCTCTTGCTTGAGCCCTGCAGTGCCATTTATGCAGAAGGTGCATCCGGGAAAAGTGTGGCTCCAGGCTGTGCCAGTGGAGACAGGGCTCAGGGAGAAACAGGGGGAAAGGCGCAGCTCACAGCTCCTGTCTATACACAGAGAGAGGGAGTGACTGGCAGGTTGTGCCCTGGAGGCCCCGGCTTCTCTTCTAGATCATCAAAGGGACTTCACGTTCCTGTTCCAGCCACCTCCTTGTTCATTCCAGCCTCACCATCAGAGGTACACAGGAAAGGATCTTCAATCTCAGTAAGACTCTCGGCTGTTCAGGTGATGAGATTCTGTGATGCGTGATGTGAGGCTTCTCAAATACAGCTTCCCAGACAGAAACGAAAGGTAGGGAAAATAACTGTTTTCAGAGAGCAACCTATATTTTGCAACCTGGCTGGGAAAGAAAAAAAAATGTTAAGTTTCAGAAACATACTGCATCTTTTTTTGGGCTGCTGAAGCCAAAATCTGCTGGTGTATAATTTTTAGTGACAAAGGACTCCCAACTTGTAGCTTCCACGGAGAAATTTTACCTCCACTTGCTCCTGGATCTTAAGTACCATCTACAGAGTGAACACTTGGTGTGAGGTGGTAGATAATGATGAACGAAACTAGAAATGTTGATCTTTCTAGAAATTCTTCCCATACACCCAAACCTGCTGAACTGGTATGAAAATTATCTGAAAAGAAGGACACTTGGTGTATTTTATACAGTGACAGGGTTTACAATCCAAGCAAGAGACATCTTTCTCTTCTCAGCCTCCTTAAAAATGCCAGAGGCTTGTACCATCTGAATCAGTAATAGTGTGACATGAATTTCTCCACGTGATCGGTTTCATGGGCTCTTGCCAGGGAGCATCCCTCACCCCTATCTCTGCACTCCTGAGACTATGTGAATTATGGACACTCTTACCACAGCATAATATTAAGAAGTGTAATGAACAGAAAATACTACATAAAATGCCAAGAGAATAGACTACAAGAAGAATGTGGTAATTCCTAGTTACATTTGGCTATGAAACCCGTTTACCTCAGCTGTCTTCATGGAGAATCTAGTCCTTTCCAGGTGGCCATTTGAAGCCCAGAGGTGCACTTGATTCAGTTTTTAGGATCCCACCTCAAGACCCACATGGACTTCATGCTGTCTCATCTCCACTCTGCCACCGGGACAATAACCCCCGCTTTCTCCGGGACCAGTTGGGTTTCTGACATGCCCTAAATACGACTGCTGGGCAGAAAACCCCCTCAAGCATGCCTTGGGAGGTCCTACGGCTGCTATCCTCAAGAATCTGTGGGCCACAGAGAGATCTCCCAATGCCTAGCTCACACTTTTCCATGGCACTAACAGATGATAAAGCTCATTTCCTAGTACTCCACCTAGTACTCCAGTATTGCTTTTCCTGTTTCCACCACATCTCTGCCCTGCCATCTGTTCTTTGCTTTCCAGAGGGATGCTTTTCACTGAAAGCCTCCCTGTAGTGCTTCCTGGGCTCTAACCACTATACTTTGGGTTGACATGTTACTGAGTTCAGCTGCTGTCATTGTCAGTCTGTCCATCCTACAAGTGCTGGCATGAGGATGGTAATCTGCATTCCCCTTTCTCATGTACCCAATGGTTTGAGAAATTCAGCAGGTTTTGACAAAGGGCTTAAATTTCATAGATCAGAATCTTTTACACTGACCCAGTTAGTAGGATATAGTGAGGTAGGAAAAAGGGAGCAGGAAAAGGAGGAAGAGAAAGAAAGGAGGAGGAGGAAGAAGTAGAAGAGGAAGACGAAGAAGAGGAAGAGAAAGAAGAGGGAGGTTTTGTGTTGTTTTTTTTTAAATGTTAACTTCCAAATTTGAAGAGGAAAACCTTGTAAGCAGGATTATAACTAGCAACCAAATATAACTGGAATTGGTCCTTCGGTCCCTCCACAGCTGATTAAGAGCACACGAAGAATATGCCAGGAATCTGTTCACCCACGAGGCTAAGTTTCTGCCTTATGAATGATCAGCTCCATGAGACACATAGGTCACCTTGCCATTCTCCATGGCCCCTGGCATCAAAGGGAGACACTGCACAGGTGCCAAGAATGCAAAGCCATCTGCAGCGATCCTACCTGGCAAGGTTCTCCCTGCAAGGTCCTGTCACGTGGCTCACCCCACCTCTCTCTGTGCCCTTTTTCTGTTCTCATTGGAGCCCAAGGCTGTAGAAAACCCCAAATATCATAATCAAAGAGGCCTTTCAAGTCTGTAGGGAACTGATGGGTAAATGAACCACTCCAAAAAAAAAGCCATAGAAAATAGACATTGATCAGAACTTGGAGGTGAAGTGCGTGAAATTGTTTATAAATTGTCTGGATAATTGTAGGCACTGAAGTGGGACGTTAGAGCTTCCATCCTCTCTTGTTTTTTGCACAGCCTTAATTAACTTTCAGACAAGAAAGAGCATACTGTTGAAAGCAGAGCAGGGCTGGATTCGAATCTTGCTTTGTAATACTTACGAGTTTGATGTTAGACTAGTCACATTTTTACCAGGTCACAATTTTCTTAACTGTAAAATGGAAAAAATGTTTCACTGAGCTATTGTAGTAAGACTTCAACAAGGTAAGTTGAGCAAAGCACATAGAATAGGGTCTGGCACATACTAGGTTCTCATCCAGTTTTGACTTTCTGGCGTTCCTTGGATCCTGTGAGAACGAGGACCCAGCATCTCCCAATCTTCATCCTGTATCAACTAAACTTGTTTTTTTCTCCTGCAAGCCTGCTTTCCTACTTAACTCCTGATCCATATGAAAACTCTTGGGCTGGAGATCTTAGATTTACCCCTTTTGCTGGCATGAGATCTTCTTCCCACACTTTTCTACTTTGCTTTCTGTCTCTGGAGATATGCCTGAAAGACTGCCACCAACAGGCTCCTATGCACTTTGTTTCCATTTGGATGTGTCTATTGAGCAGGAAGTTGAGGGAGTGGGAGGATAATGACATTATTCTAAGGAACTTATAAGGACCTTAGTGCTCCTTCCCTTGGGCTGGCAGTATCCCTTATCAGAAGATTAATGCTCTATAGGACTTGCCCCCTTGATTTGAGTAACTGTTCTCTTCCCTGTCCCTTTGACCCTCACCCCAATTTCTTGTACAGTCCCTCATGGTTGCCCTGTACCCTGCCAATACTTTTGTAAGGAGACGCTTTGTAAAACAAAACAAAAAACAAAAACAAATCCTCCTCAAATTATCCTAATTGGAGAAGTCATCTGTTTTCCCCTAGGAATTCTCACTGACTCAGGGCCAATATCTCTCCTGCTGTCCAATCAAGAATCTAAAAGTCATTTGAACCCACTCTCTCATCCCCCTAATTCCCACCAGTCATCCAGTCCTGTCAGATATACCGCACACATATTTCTGGAAGTGAACATTTCCTTTCTATTCCAGTGATTGTCTTATGGACTGAGATCTTGATTATTGCTAGTTTGGGTTTCCCAGCTTCCTGCCAAATGATTTCCCTGCCTCCTTTTCTACCCCTCTTCAATCCCCCCTTTCTGCTCCCATCAGGATGGGATGCAGACCCTTCCCTCGGTCCCTAGTTTTTAAAAGACAATGTCCAAAGTGCACAGCAGGGCACACAAGATGTATCACAATATGGCACTTGACCAACTCCCCCATTTTCCTCTTCAGTGCCTCCTCTCCTCCTGCTCCCAGCTGCGACCCTTCAGGCCATGTATAAACTCTGCAGTCCAGTCATTTGTTGCCACATCCCTGGCAGATTCCATGGTACAGACTTGCCTTGAGAGAAACGGGAATAGCGAGAGGAAGCAATAATTTAAACGGATGGTGTTCCTTGTTCCTGTTGTGCTAGATGAACATTTGTCCTGAGATGCACTGAGAGATGGGAGCTGTAAACCTGCCCAGCCCCCTCCTTCTGTTCTTCACTCCTTTGCCTCTCTTAGTGTGAGTGCCACCACTCAGCCTAAGGCTTGAAGATAAATACATTTTGTTGAACATGACTTTGAAATTCAAGCCAACTCCTTCATCTGCTGCTTAAATGAAGACACACAATCTTGTTTCAATATTGGGAAACAATCTCTGTTAGATTTAGTAAGGAATGGTACATCAGTATCCTAAGGAGTTTCTAAGAGTACTTTGACTATTGCAAGCATCTCCTCGCATGCAGACTGGCTACTTGTGGCTTTGGAATGTCCTACACTCCTCCACACCAAGGGGCTTTGTCATGCCGCTCATCTGCTAGGAGCATCCTTCCCACCCTTTTCTTACTAGATAAGACCTACGCTTTGTCCAAGAGTCAGCATAAAGCAGGCAGGTGCTCCTTCCCTTCCATCTTGAAAAGCCCTTAATAGATGCTTCTATTCTGATACTCATTGTGCTATAACTCATTACTGACCTTAGCTCCCCACTCAACTGTGAGCCCCTTGAGGTTAGAGGTGAGTTCATTTCTGTAGCTCTTGTTGCACTTTGCTCTTCCTTGTTACCTACCATTTGGTCTGCTAGGGTTCCAACTATGGATCACACCACCTCCCTAAAGTAATGTTTATAGCAGGGCTATAGAGCTGTGGTCATTTATTGAACACCTCCGTGGCCTGAGAGAGGCATGGAGGGGAACCATCCGATACTGCTCCATCCTATCACAGGAGAGAGTTTGTCATAATGTCAAGCCATGTTAACCTCTCAGAGAAGCTGGAGTGGTCAATAACTCACTCTCTTGTGGGTTTTTTCTTTGAAAGAAGCTTACTCAGTAGCATGGGAGAGCTCCCCTCAGCTGCTGAGCTGGAGCTTGATTAGAACTTTACATTGTTGCTATATAAATCAAGAGTCCAGGCATGCTCAAAGGGTTTAATGAAGGGTCTGGGCTCTACAGAGGTGTAGCCAGTGTTACTAATAAGGTACCATAAAATACCCAGAGACTAGCAATAGCAAAGCATTATCACACTTAGGCTGAAGGGGCAAAAGGAGGGAGCTGTTACTAGACCCCAGAAAGTGGGGATCTGCCCCATAGGATGTGTGGCTATTAATAGGAGAGGAGCCAGAGGACTAATGCCCCAAAGTTTCTTACCCTTTTCTAATTCTGTCAGTACCTCCTAACAGATGAAACCAAATTGGAAACCAAAAGGCAATGCATCCCTGGATGAGCAGTCCATGGGCATTGGCTCTATGGGGCCCAGACCTGGAAGAGAAGGCTGGAGAAAGATTTGGAGGGGCAAATAAAGAATAGTGAATGGTCATTTGGAACATTATGAATTGTCCATCATACTCTGCAGAGTGGTTTGAAATCCTTAGGGTCTGTTATGAACTGAACTGTGTCCCTCCAAAATTCATATGTTGAAACCCTAACTCCCAAAGTGATGGTATTTAGCATAAGGCCTTTGGGGAGGAAGTTAGGATTAAATGAGATCATACATAAGGGTGAGGCCCTAAACCAATGGGATCTGTGTCTTTATGAAAGGAGACATGAGCAGTCTCTCCCTCTCTCTCTCCCTCCTCTTTCTCACTCACACTCTCTTCTCCCTTCCCTTCTGCCCTCCCTCCCTCCTCACATGTACACACACACAGAAGAAAAACAGCTGTCTATAAGCCAGGAAGGAGGCCTTACTGGAAACTGACTTTGCTGGCAACTTAATTATCAGACTCCCAGCCTCTGAACTTTGAGAAAATTAATTTCTGTTGTTGAAACCGCCTAGCCTATGATGTTTTGTTATAACAGATGAAGCAGACTAATTGTTATAGCGATGAAGCAGACTAATACAGAGTCCTTGGAAGGGTATGCCAAATTATGGCAGAAGAACCATTCCTTTTTCTTCCTACACCAGTAAGTATGACTTGGCAAAAATTACTCCATGGGGCTTTCTAGGAAACCCAGATTTCCAACATATTGCTTGTGATATTAAATCCACAAATTCACAGATTGGTAAGAAATTTAGATTTCTTTATTTCCTGTAACTAATTCTAATAGTTACTTTGAGTTCCAACTTTGCCAGATAATGAAAACTTACTTTCGGTTAGGTCAAAAGCCTTTTAATATAGTGTCTTATGTAATGCCAAGGTTTGAGGGTGGGCATGTGGTGTTTGATATCTTCTTTTATCCATGTTTTTCCCTCCCAGAGCCTCTCATTCCAGCTGCACAGTGGGCTGTGACCCCACGGGCCATGTGCACATGGGAGGCATTCTTCTGTTTCTATTCTTTCCGTGCTGTGAGAAATTGCAAATCTGTCTCAGACCCACCTCCCCAGATATACCACAAGACCATTGGTTTCTCCTCCTTGATTTTTCCATTTTGCTGGACTCTACTTGGAAATGATGGGGGCTGCAGAGGGATGTCACTGATCCCCTCTGATCTTAGAGTCTCCAGACTTTTCCAGGGTCTCAGTCACCTCCTCCCTAAAGCTTAGACAGCTCCAGTATTAAATTATCTTGGCTTCCCTTCTGATTCCTTCCCCTCCTTCAACCAAGAGAATCACTTATAGTCTCAGGAATACAGAAAACTTGTTCTTTTTCCTATATTCTTCCAAAGTCAAGAATTAGCTCCCAATCTCCTTTTTTTTTTTTTTTTTTTTTTTTCTGTATCGTCCTTCTCCTGTTCTCCTGGGATAATAAAAGGGGAAATGAATCTAATAGGAAATTTGGGGTGGCAGGAAGAGGAAGCATTACCTACAAATACTATCCTCCTATATAGAGGCAATGCATGAGACTTGTCACTTTGTAGGAAAGCCTGGGAATGTCAGGGGTCACTCCTCTGGTGTTGCTGGGAAACAGAACAGGGCCACGGGGCTGCTCCACAGTGCTGCCTCTAGGTCCCACAACCCCCGCTCTACTAACCCTGCCGCCAACTTGACCCTCTGTCCTGCAGCACAGCCTTACCTTCCTACAGGCAATGAGTGTGGGACATAGGAGCAACTTCATTCGTTTTTCCCACGTGGGAGACAAAATCCCAAACTGGTTGAGTTTCAGGAAAATGAATTATTTTCCCCAGTCTTAAGAAAAGAAAGGAATGGAGGCTGAGTCATGGATAACAAACCAGAGACGAGCTAATACTCAGAGTTGGAGAGCAGGCTAGCCCATAAAGCCTTTGGGAAACTGAGGCTAGAGTACCGAGGGAAGGTCCAGAAGGGCACTGAATCTGGGCAACCAGATTTGGCAGACAGAATGGGGATAAGAAGCCAAGAGCTCAGGGCCAGAAGAAAAGTCATACCAAGAGGAATGTGGCCGAGGGGAGTGCAGTGCTTTGAGCAATCTGGTTTTGGGGCCTGTTGAACAGCAGTGGTCTAAAGATCCAGCATAAGGGCCCAGCAAAGAAAGTGTGATTAATGCAAGCTTTCCTGAAGCTTTTGGGAAGTGCTCCCTGCTCCAGCCAAGCATCTGTGGTTGGAGGAAATATTTTGTCAAAGACAGAGTAATATTTTTATATATTTATGATATCAAGTGTGGAAATGAACAGGCCTGTGCTTACAAGGATATACATGTAACACGTCTCTCCAGCCTGGGAGGCATTTTATCTCTTGCTTTTACAAGCCATCTGGAAGGGCAGGATCACAGAGAAATCCCCCAAGTTGCCAATGACGTACAGTATTTCAGCATTTCCTGGATGTAAACCATTAAGTAGACAGATACAGATAAATTCTTCAAAGGTCTCTGACCACTTTGCTAGGTGAGCGGTCAAGAGATGAAGACTAGCTGGCTCTTTTCCAAGTCATCTCATGAGATGGTATTACCTTGATGAATTCACCGTGCCCATGGGATCCCAACTTTGTCATTGTCCTGAAGTCAAGATGGAGGCAGGGACACTGATTCACATTAACCAAATTAAAATCAAAACACATCAAGAGATTGAAAGCTTATTAGTACACAGTGGAAGTTATTTTGATCCAATGAAAGGAATTCTCATTTCTCCTCCCGGGGACGGGCCCTTCCTGGAGAGGTCAAAATAATAACTCTCAATTGCATGGTAAGCAGAGAATCAGAGCAAAGGATATGGAGAGTTTGAGAGATTTTATCCAGACCATCGCGTGGTATGATGAATCATTCCTGCCCTTTGCTACAGAACACCTCTCTAGTAATTAAATTAAGGTTGTCTTGCAGATTCAGTGTCTTCTCAGCTTGGACAATGCTGGAAAAACACTGCCAAGTTTTGTCCTGTTGAGCTATACTTTCTGTGATCCAGACCGTTCCTTTATGTTCATGCATTACAATGCAATTGATTAGATCTTTGCTTACTAAATATTAACCACACTCCTGTCCTGTATCTCTGAGATCCAGGTCACCTTGTGTGGAATTGGGGGACAATGCAAATCCCTTGGTCACATATTTACAGACAGGCTCTTATTTACTCATCCAGATTTCTAAACATTGTGTGAGGATTTTACTAGTTGAATCCTTAAAAGCTAATCTTATTTCTCTTATCTCCAAGCTCCTAGGGGACATCGTACAATTCCCCCCTACACCTACAACATAATATTCTCATAGAGGGCTGATAAACATTAGTGTAAACAAAGGGGTGCATTTTAGGAAAGAATATCTATGTGTTACCTATAATATAGGTAGGGCACAGGGCATTGTTTATAATCCATTATAAGCAAGGGTACCCCTTAATGTTTGAAAGGGGTTTCATTTAAGAAAAACTTTTTAATAAACTTTATAAGACAAAATTACAGAATCAATTTCTCAGATGGGAGATACAGGTTAAAAATGTAATGGGCACACAGGGGATCCAGGGTGGCTCAGTTAGTTAAGCATCCTACTCTTGATTTCAGCTCAGGTCATGATCTTAGGGCTGTGAGATTGAGCATCATGTCAGGCTATGACCTCAGCAGGGAATCTGCTTGAGATTCTCTGCCTCTCCCTCTACCTCTGCCCCTCCCACTCGCGCATGGTCTCTCTATCAAATAAACAAATAAACCTTTAAAAAATGTAATGGGCACACAAGTTCTTGATAAATTCTTGACAGGCCTTTATAGATTATTAAAGGAAACAATGGAGTCTGGAGGTCGTCTGTAGCCCTAGAAGCTGTTATTGGTGAAGATAACCAGGCACTGCCATTAAAAGGGATGACACTGGCCCAAATGGACTATGACACAGAAAGGCAATTTCTGCTTTCTTCCTCACCTCCCAGGCATTAGCAAGTCAGGTTTCCTGAAAAACAGACTGAGACTTAGATTTGTGTGCAGAAGTTTTCCTACAGAAGTGCTTTCAAAATCAATACCTAAAAGAAGTGAGGGAAGCAGGACGAGGCAATAGGAGAAGTTGGGTCATCATTTGCCAGCAACAGGACAGATCTCCCTGTGACTTGCAAGAGACGCTGGAGCTGGAATGGTCCTTTGCAGTTGTCTTGCTTTGAGGTAAGGGAGTCCAGCCTTTATTTAACTTCCCACCCCATGAGGAAGGAGTGTGACCTTGTGTCAAGTGACTTTCTTTGACCAAAGGCAAATCCTAGAGAGGGATCCAGGGAAGACTCTTCAGCCACTAATACTCCCAGCAGCTGGGGAAATAAGTGTCCCAGTCCCGGACAGTGCACCAGAATATCCAACCAATGGGTGCTCACAGACTCTGACCATTTCCTAGTATCTGTTCCTGCAAGCTGGGGACAAATCCATTGTCGGAAGTGAGATATTCCAGGTCTGGTGTATTGTTTGCTAAGAGATGACAACACTGTGTGAAAGATATTCTTGGAGTACAGTGACCATTTCACCATAAGGGCATTAGGTATCCTGTGTCAAACCACCTCTCCCTAACAAACCAAGAAGAAGCTAACATGTGACACTGCCCAGCAAGCCTCTTTCCCCACTCCATATTCCTAGAGGCAGGATGGTGCAGCATGAGTGATCTGGAAGGCTACTCAGGGGGGTTACAGACAGGGCAGAGAACACACTGTTCAACGGTGACCCTGATCGTGGTAGGAAGATGTGAAAGAGGAGCTGGTCATCTGCTCATGGCCACAGCATGAGGCCACCTCAGAGAAACTGATGAGATGGACTCTGGTATCCATTTCCTATCCCTTCCCCTCCTCTGGCAGCAGCGGCCTTCTGAGGCTCCCCTTCACCTCTGTCCCTCTCTTACATCACACCACTATCAGGAAATGACAGGAAATGCATTAGCATTTAGGTGCAGATGACTCACAATTATTGCCCCCCCCCCATCCCGGGAAATATTTAGCTTAAGTCTCTGGCAATCAGCTACAATGCAGATGGGGTGTTGGCCATATTCCTAACAGGACAAGGCAGGGGAATCACAGAATTTCTGGAAAAATGTAGAAAGAACATAGAGTTGACTGCCCATTATTCTTTTCTTTTTTTGCTAACAGAAACCCAATTTTATTCTGAATGGCCATGTGCTAAGCTATTTCCCCAGCTCCCATGTAGTTAGATGTGGCCAAATTGATGTAAGTAACAGTCACTGGGAGAAGCACAGAGGAAGGAATTTTAAATCAAGCTGACTCAGCTGGCAGCCTTTACTTTTGTTCAGCACCTCTCTTCCCTTCTCCTTCCTCTTGCTGGGAACCTTGAAGGTGATGGCTGGAGAGTTAACAGACACTTCAAACAATGAGGTAATCTTGAGGATGATGGAGCAGAAGGGTACAGGCAACCTAGTCCCATGAAGTGTCTAGAGCTACTATACCAATCCCAGACCACCCACTTCATTCACGTGAGAGAGAAATGAACATCTACCTCGTTTATATGGCCTATATGAGTTTTCTGTTACATTCAGCTGAAACATATTTCATAATTGACACAGAATTTGGTTGCTAGAAATAGGATGCTAGAGAAAACAGAACCCAAAATACCAACCTGACTGAATGGTGGAGGTGGGGAGGCAGATATTAAGGAGTCCAATATTGTAGTCTGAAAACCATGCTGGCCTTGTTACTTCAGGGGTGAACCGTTTTGTCAGTCTGTTGCCTACTATACCTTGGAAATCAGACTGCATGCTGGCCAAGGTTGACGTTGGGAAAATGGTAGGAAAATTAAAAATGTTGATATGTGCTAGCCTCTTCCTGCTGCTTTCTGTAGAGTCCTAAAAGAGAGAAAGAAGCTCAGAGTAGAGCTCGCCACACCATAAACACAAATGGAGAGAAATACCAGTTTACTGAAGGAGATATTCCTACCTATAGTCTGCAAGCTGGGTGGAATAGGAGTCTCATAATTTAGGCCTTGCAGGGTTGAAAAAGCCAAATGCATTTGTACCTCACATTGAAGCAGTTATAAGTAGTGGCTGTAAAATTGCTGTATTTACAGCACATAAGACTAATATCCTTTCATAGGAAGTTAGAAACCAGCTGAAAACATAGGATTAAAGGTATTGCATTTCTGTCCAAGCTCAGATGAATCCAGGAAGTGACCATTATTTTGAGAAAGCAAGGCATAGCAGAGCACAGAGGCTGGTAAATAAAAGATGAAACCCTTCCTGCTTTAAAGCTCTTCTTAGCCTGCAATTACTTTGTGGACAATGAAGACTAGTGGAAGCCTGGTCAACTTTAGAGAAAACAAGATAATAATCATAATAAACCTAAACAGCGCCATCAGCAAGGGGCCTGAGACTTTTCTATCTTCAAAGCAATATCTGGGCCCCAAAACTACACCAGCAGCAAGTGGGCTAGGAGAGATATACAGCCCTCCACTACCTACTTCAAAGGCGGTCATAGAGGATGATGAGCAATCATAAGACTTCTAGCATGCAGGGCTAGGAGCAACAGAAAGAGAGACGAAGAAGACAGCTCTTCCCAAATAGCGGAACTGAGGCTGCCTGATAAACGTATCACACACTCCACTGAAATCCTCCACTGGCGGGGCTAGGAGTCCTTACTATTTTTACCAAAAAGAATTGAGATTGTTATGGATTGGTGTTCCTCATTCTCCCCTTCTCCAAATAGAAGGTTTTTGTTTATTTGCTTGTTTTTATGGCAATACCCATTTTTTCTTCATCCCAGTGTGTCGATAGAGCAGGTAACTTGCTTTTAGGTTTATGTGCAACTGGATCACAAGAAGAAACACCCAGATTTGACGCGAAGAACTGCACATTGTCTAGATAGAATCTAGACTTTGAGCTAGATAGAACAATCTGATAAGAATTTTGAATTGACTCTTTCAAGGAGGTGGTGAATGTATTTTATGCATAGTCTTTATGGATATTGGATAGCGAAGGGGTAGACTATGCTAGAAACAGTTGTCTAACCAGTATTCATTCTCCCCTTCTCTCTTTCTAACAGAATTTGAATGCTCTTCTTTGAGACAATGCCCCATTGAGATTGGCGGGGGGAGATTACTTTTAACAAATTTCCTTAAAGCTAAGGGTGGCTAATGAAATGTAAGTGGTGGTCATGGGCGTCTTCCAAGAAAGCTAATTTAAAGGGGGAATGCTTCCTCTGAGAGGCATGCTCTTTTGCATTTCCTTTTTTTCCTTCTTCCTGCCAAAAAGATGGAGATAATGGCTGGAGCTCTGCCAATCGGCTTGGCCAACAAATCAACTTTGAGTATGAAGCAAAGCTCTAAGATGGTGAAACAGAAAGAAGGAGGTTGGCTCCCTAATAACCATATCTACATATTAGTCTTCTTTACCTGGTGTCAGTTTTTCTTTTCTTTTAAAAGAGAGAGGAAATAAATCCATCTAATGTAAGCCACTTGGTATTTTCTAGCATCTTCAGATTAACCAAGTCCTATAAAGTAGCAGGGATGAGCATAGCCTTCACACTTCACAAGTCACTTCTTGCTTATATTGCCTATCCATAAGGCAGACCTCGGCAGTCACAGAACTTCCACCCTGAACAATCCATATATGCTGAGAATGTAGATTCTAAAAGCCCATGTTTAGAAGAAACTAGGAAACGGATCACATTGGTCATGATCTTTGAAACAAAGAAGGCTGTGCACCGGCCCTCTAGATGTACTGGGCAACAGAACTGTTGATAGGCTGAGACATGGGACAGACAGACATTAAGAAAGTTTGTCTTTCAGCCAGCTTGTTAGGAGTCTATGGAGACTAGATGCTTGGTCCCCTAACTCTTTGTCTTATTAAAAGCACTGCATTAGCATCATTAAAAAAGAAGTCTAAGTCTCTTGGCCTAGCAGAGAGAAAATTCTGGGTCTTTTCCAGTTTTCATTATGGCCATATGAGAATAAGGACTATGGCCTATTGCCTGATTTCATTTTTCCGAAGTGATAGGGATCCTATTGCTTCTGTAAGAAATTGCCGAAACTTAGTGGTTAAAAACAACACAAATTTATTCTCATAGTTCTGAATGTCTGAAGTCCTAAAAGGGTCATCAGAGCAGTGTTCCTTCTGACTTTAGGGGAGAATCTATTTCCTTACTTGTTCCAGCGTCTACAAGCTTCCTGCATTCCTTAGCTTGTGGTCCCATCCTCATCTTCCAAGCCAGTCATGTGACATCTTCCCATCTCTCTCTCTCTCTGTCTCTCTACTTCCATCATCCCATTGCCTCCTGTCTGACTCCAATTCTAGAACCTCCCTCTATAAAGACCCTTCTGATTACATTGGACCCCCCCAAAAAAAATCTAATCTCCCCATCTCAAGTTTCTTAACTTAAGCACAACTGCAAAGTCCCTTTTGCTATATAAGGTAACATATTCACCACGTCCATTAAGACATGGACACCCTGAAGTCAACTTGATATCCTCTTGAGGGTACTTTTTGGTCCATGTTTCCCAGATCCTTAAATGTCTCCCTCTGCAAGCCTCTCCTATTACCTGAATTTTTTGCCATTAAAACTTTTTGCCCTCTATTAAAATAAACAGACCACTTGCAGTGTTAATGTATAAAGCTACCAGCTTTTCATCAGATTCCCTGTCAACTTGCACCTATCTTGGAGAAGAGGAGAAACGGGATGTGGGCCAACTAAATATTATTAGGGGAAAAGTTGATACGAGAAGTTGTATTGCCAGTGTGAGCCAGCATGGGACACTGCTGTAGACGCCCTAAATAACATGGAGCCATCAGGGGTCACTTCATAACAAGCCAGTAATGGGAGTACATGAAGGCATTGCTCAGGAAGAGAAAGAGGGTATTAGATAGACATAGTAGAAAAGCAGAAACTTCTTCTTTCAAGATTGTCTAGGGATAGGGTGCCTGGGTGCCTCAGTTGGTTAAGCGACTGCCTTCGGCCCAGGTCATGATCCTGGAGTCCCGGGATTGAGTGCCACATCAGGCTCCCTGCTCAGCGGGGAGTCTGCTTCTCCCTCTGACCCTCTCCCCTCTCATGCTCTCTCTCTATCTCATTCTCTCTCTCAAATAAATAAATAAAAAATCTTTAAAAAAAAGAAAAAGATTGTCTAGGGATAGTACTACTGGCTATAGCTAACATTAATTAAATTTTATTATGTGCCAATGTAGTAAACTAAATTATTGGTCCCAATTTTTCATACTTCCTCCCATTCAAATCCATGTCCTTAACCATGTAATTTCACAGTGCCACCACCCATGAAAAAAGAATATATTTCCCTGGTTCTTGATTTTGGGCTTATCCATAAGAACAGTTTGGCCAACAGGCTATCACCAGGTAAGAAAGAAGCTTACTTGTTTGGGTTTGCCTTCTCATGCCATAGAAGTAGAAGACTATTTCTCCCCAAGGAGGATGAGAGAAACATGACACACCCTGATATAACTTGCTGCTCCGAGTTGCCCCAGTTGATCCACAGACATATGAGGATGCCACTGAGATTTTGTGATTGTATATGTCACATTAATTTCCTGAGCCAGTCAGAAATTGTTCTAAGTGTTTTACATGTATTAATTAATCTAAACCTCACTATGATCTTGTAAAGTAGATACCATATTTATTTTGCAGATGAGGAAACTGAGGCATTAGGCCATTAAGAACCTTGTTTAAAGTCATGCAACTAATAGATATTGGAGCTACAGTTTTAATTTAGGTAGTATGTCCATTAGTTCTTTTTTTTTTTTTTTTAAATTTATTCATTTATTTGAGAGAGAGGGAAAGGGAGAGAGAATCTGAAGCAGACTCCACACTGAGTTTAAAGCCTGACAAGGTGCTCAGTCCCACAACTGCAAGATCATGACTTGGGCCAAAACTGAGAGTCAGACACTTACCAACTGAGCCCCCCAGGTGCCCCATCCACTTAGTTCTTAACTATAGGATTAGATTGGGTCACAGCTAACTTACAGTTTTCTTTCTTTCTCTTTTCTTCTCTTTATGGCCTATTTTCAATCTGTTTTAAAATACTGGGATTTTAAATCTTTTTTTGATCATATAGATGAGAAATCCACTGGGCTGAGTCTGAGGTTCTGTGTTCTTATCCTACTACCAATAAGGAATGCAAGATTGCCCCAATATAAACAAATATTTTGTCAATTCATTACCCACATTTTCAAGGCCTGATCTGATGAACAATATGCTGGAAAAACAAGGACACATACCTAGAAATCAACCACCATGTGACTCAGCTGATAGCCAGCTTACACCTAGTTTCAGAAGGCTAGTTATGTTGGAGAATTTTATAAATAATGCCTTCTTTCTCTGCCTCAAACTCCTGAAAAGGTGAGTTTTACTCTCTTCAGGAACTTTTGGAAGCTGAGTTTATAGGAGGATGAGAGACGCCTAGGAGGTAAATGGTCAGCTACAGATAAGCCATAAAGAAACCAAAACATGAACCAGAACATAGATAAACGTAGATACTGGAGAGTCAGATTCTTGTGAGGCAGAGAATTAACAGATACTAGAGAAGAACCAAGAATTGCTTCTCCGCCTTTGGGCTAAGATCAAGTGTAGAGATGAGCCAAGAAAGTTCTGATGTTTCCAAATAAAAAATAGGAAGCCAACAAGTCTATTAAGACCCAGAAGAAATAAAAATGTAGGAATTACTGACGGGGGACAGTGAAAATGAGGACTTAAAAAAATGTTTTTTTTTTTT